TAGAGATATGAGAGGTGAGGGGTAGCCGGGTAGCTGGGAACTAGACAAGCCAAGGATGAGGTAGGTTGAATAGAGCTGCTTTCCAAGGCACCTACAAGAGAAAGGGCCCCTGCGGCGTGTTCACGAGGGAGAACTCTCTGATGCTTAAATCAATAAGTGAGCAGCGGGTTGTTGGACCGAACTAAGGAGACTAATCAATTAGGGAAGCCAAGGACGAGGTGAGAGCAAAGATAACGCTATATCGTGTTACCTTTCTTTAGGGATGCCTTGCCTATTTTTAGAGGAGGTATAGTGCCCGCTAAGGAGTTATAAACATGTTAAGAGCTGGTTGTTGCGCTTGGCTGGAGCTTTTTGATGTCATCCTTATTGGGATCTAAACATGTTGTAGGTGTACAGGTGAACTAGTTAGTTGGGTTGGTTAGCAAGCTAGGTAGGTCTGAATCATCGGTGAGCTTCTTGAGTGTTTCATTCTAAGACACATGGTAGCTCTTAATGGGATTGTACTGATGGGCTACATCACTTGCCCCCTACTTTTGAGATCAACTTCGTTGTCTTTCTACTTATTTAGGGAACGGGATCTTCTCCTCACACATGGGCACCTCACAAGCACATCCACCGTGCATTGAGAACATCTCCCATGAATAATAACTTATAAGTATGGGAGATATTCCCAATGCATGGTAAGATGTGTATGTGAGGTCGGTGTGAAGCGCCCTGTGTGAGAAGCAGATCTGATGTCCTTATTTAGTGGGAGGTCAACTTGGTTGAATAAGATTGTTGGACTTGCATAGATTTGGTTGTCTCACATTCTTTAATAGGTTGTGTTTCTTTGTTCATGTGGTCGAACTTATATAAATTTAGGCACTATAAGAATATAAGAATTGCATTGGAAGACACTCAAACAAGTGGCCATGGTGCACTCACATTGCAACTTAAGCCTAAATCTCACACAACACAATCCCATAATGAAACAATCCTTGAATTGCAACGAGCACTCTACCCTACAACATGAAACAACAAAACATCATCGTATCTCAAAGCAAACTAATTTCAACTTAAGAACCTCATTATCATAGTTTTTATCGATCTCATGACATGAAGTACTGAATCACCGCCACAACACAAAGCACAACTAGCTTTAGCTTATCATCCTCATTGTTACACACTTGCCTACTTATTTTCACCAAAATGTCCCTTTTTGGCGTCAATTCACAATTTTTAGTATTTTTATAAGTACAAATAAAAATTAGAATTTAAAAATGTAAATTAAATATAAAATAATGCATATATTACCTGTAGAATATTGATCTCAAATTAAAAGTTACTCCAATCAATATAAAGATCATCTAAATTGATATAAAGTTATGACCTCTAAATGTTTGCATATACATTTAGTGTGCAACATGTTACCTGTTTGGGTTGAATGGATCAATAGTTTAACCACTCGAATCAAATGGTGTTTTTACAAAGTCAATGACTTTTACTAAACACTAGGCTCCATAATCATGGTCAAGTGATGGTTTGAATGGGTTGAGTTGACAAGTTCAAAAATTGGTTTCAAGCCACTCCATTGCTCAAAAAGAAAAAAAAAACACAAGGTAATCATGGGCCGAGCCAAGATTGATTGTGGACCTATGTAATTTATGTATAAATAGTTATATATATATATAATATAGTATGCATATAAAATTTGTTTTATGTATTATATGTAAAATATAAATATACAATAAAACATAAAATCAGGGTTCTTTTATGATTTTTTATTTTTTCAAAAAAAGCCTTTTTTCGTAAAATGTAAACCTAAAATACAAAATATGTACAATATATAATAAAAAATAAAAAATATGTATGATATATATCTAAAATAAAATTTTGATGGAATAGATTAAAGTTATATAGTGACATAATAATATCTGTTTTATTTGGTATTTTATAAGATATAATGATTGTAAACATTAACTTTAGCGACGGACTAATTCACCATCAATATATTATATAACTTATATAGCGACGGATTATATATTCTATCGGTAGAGTGGGAACCTATAGCCATGGATTAATATCCATTGGTATACTATACAAAACCTAGCAATGGATTACATTTGGTTTTAGCAATGGTCTAATGCTTCGGTCAATTATATACATTACATTAATGATGGATCAAATATCCATAAGTAAAAAGCACATATACCAAAGGATTTTGACGATCAATAAAGGATGTCATTGGATTTCAACAACAGATTAATAGCTTCGCCGGTATAAGATAAGATATGTAGTGATGATGTACATATCCGTCAGTAAAAACATTTATACCAACAGATTGGGGCTGTCAGCACAAATATCTGTTGGTATATGTACCTTTTGTTGTAGTGAACGTTTCCTTGCACTGCGATGATATCTTGTCTACAAGCTTCTATAAGGAAGGCAATAGCTACACTTATGCTCTTGTGCAAATCCCGATGAAAAGGGTGGGAACCCAGACCATGGGATCTCTACAGGAACATGTAGAGAAACCCTACCTGTGCTCATTTGTTCTAGATCTAATTGAATAAAAAACTTTATCACTTGGGGGAAGTTTCCTCTCTTCTTGTTACCTGACATAAAGCTCTCCTTACCTTAGTCTTATACCTCTTTTGCATAAGCTCTGCCACTTTGTGTTCTCAGTTTCCTTTAATCTCCCTCTATAACTCCTCTTTCAGGTAGGCCTGTATATTGCCCTACCCTACCCCACCCACAATAGTCATTATAGTTGTCAAGATCATTTGAAATTGTCATGTGAAACACATGCCCACATTTACTAGTAACTTAACATAAGTATTGAAAAGTTAGAATATTTAGCCTTTTGATGAACCCTATATGAAAGCATTAATGCAGGTACCTCCACTATGTAACTTCTTCAAACATTTTTTCATTTACCCGAAGAAAGAGAGACAGAGAATTGATTTGATGGGTTATGATTGTGGAAACTGAGAAATCATGATATTAGTCAGAGTAGACTTGTTCATGAGCCGGGTCGGGCTGATTTGGGCTTTGTGTCTATATTTATGTTCAGCCCAGGTCTGGTCCTCAAAAGCCTAAAGCCTGAACAAAAAATTGGATAAGAAGATTTTTTTTTATTAAGCAATACAAGTGATTTATTTATATTAAATGAGTCCAAAACCCAAAAATATTGAAAAATCTCACCATGACTTGAGAAAAGAGAAGAAAAACAAAGTAAAAAATATATATCATATGCATTTTTATTATATAATATTTTCTTGGACTGGGTTTAGGCTCAGGCTTGGGCCAGATTATTTTGAGAAGATTGAGCCCAACTAAAAAAATGTCGAATGGGTCTGGTTTTTTGGGCTTGAACCCGAGCCTGTGGGTCTAAAATCTTGTCGAAACTTGACCAAGAATGGGCTTGACCGGACTGGCCCATCCGACTAGCTGGCACATGAATAGGTCCAAGTCAGACCATATATCATGTGTTGATAATGTAGTAACTAGGATTTTCTTTCAAATTGAAGCAGATGCAAGGGGTCCCAATTTAATAATGTGCAGTGTAGCTTTCAAATATTCCCATTACGACAAATGGTTGAAATGTGGAGACTGAGAGCAAAGTCATTCCTGGGCTCAATTAGAACCCGGTCTTTGTTGACATGGGCCTTAACGTCAAGCCTCATCTTAAAAAATAATTAAGTTGACTTGGGCCTCAGTATTTTATTGCCGACTGCAGAGCGATTCCTTAATCCGAGTCTCACGGCAAGAGGGTATTTTCATAATTTCCTTCAAAACTCTTGGGTCAGCCAACGTGCTAGCTGTGCTATGTTGATTATGGACCGATCTTATTTCACATTTGGTTCTAGACCTGGCAAAAAGTTGATCCAACTCGTAAACCCAACCCAATCTAATCTGAAAAAATAGGGTTAGGGTCTCATATTTAGTTATTTGAACATGAGAATGACCCAGCCCGGAAAAATTGCATTGGGTTGGGTCATGGGTCAACCCGTTGACCCGATTGCCAATTCTAATTGGGACTATTTATGCATTATTAGAAGTTTCTACTCTTTAATTTTTTCTATTTAATCTTTACTCTTTAAATTATTAAATGTTCAAGTTTTTTATTTATATTTAGAATTTTAAAGTTAATTCTTTTAATTTTGACATTTTTCATATAATTTTTCTTTATTTTTTTAAATTTCAGTTATTTTTTAGGATGACCCGAATTAATCCATGGATCAACCCTAACCCCAAAATCAACCCGAAATGTATTGACCCGACCCCGACGCACCCAACCCAATTGCCAGTTCTATAATTGGTTCCCAACTTCCGATATCAGCTTGCTCCTGTGCAGCGTGCAGCGTGCTAGTGTTGTCTATTTAACCCACACTTTCTCAACTTGGAATGCTCTAATCTTAGCTTGTGTTAATTTACTGGCTTATGACTTCTCACGCATTCAAAATTTATCTCCCTCAAAGTATATGCAGGAAACACCCCTTGTTTATTTTTAGTACAATTTTATTTGTTCTAGTACAAATGTATCAATGAAAACTATCAAATGATTTTCAACCCGTTTCTTTGCATTTTTTTTTCTTTGTTCAATTTCCTGTTCCCCATCAAACTCTATATATTGTAACAAGACGTGGCTTCTGATTTGTTCAAGCTGATTTTCCAGTCAATCTCTTAGGCTGGACTCATTCAATGGTGAGTCACGACCCACCCAAAATGAAAATGCAAGTTGTAGGCAATTTGTTGATTGGACCCAAGAAACCGTGTCATTTGATTCACCCAACAATTCATATAAATGCCCCACTATCTTTCCCTCAAAACCCATAGTAACATCATCTCTCCTTGCTTTAGGGTCTCAACCTCTCAATCCGGGCTCCAATCTTCCTGCTCTTCTCCTCCTTAGTTTGGCAACCCCAGTGGTTGCCACCTTTGTGGGCCTTTCAAAAGTGACCCTTTGTCCTTTTGATCTTCTAATCTCTCTCTCTCTCTCTCTCTCAATCTATCTGAAAATGAAGTTTATCGGGGAGAAGAGGTATGCCCTATTAATGGCAGTTAAGGACTCTGATTACGTGAAGAAAGTGTATGGTGGGTATTTCAATGTGTTTGTTAAGGCATTCGGGGAGGAAGGAGAGAAGTGGGACTTGTTCAGGGTTGTGGATGGAGAGTTTCCTGCCATGGATGAGCTTCACAAGTATCATGGATTTGTGATTAGTGGCAGCCCTCATGATGCTCATGGAAATGAACCATGGGTCTTGAGTCTCTGCATTTTGCTACAAACACTCTATGCCATGGAGAAGAACGTGCTTGGAATATGTTTTGGGCACAAGTACGTAATTAATTAATAAAAGATTTTTTTTCATTAGTTTTTGTTGTTATCTTATTAATAAGAGAAATTATTAATAATCTATTTATTTACCTATTTTTAGGTTTTGTGCCGAGCTTTGGGTGGTAAGATAGGAAGGTCTCATACTGGTTGGGACATTGGGTTGAGGAAAGTCAAGCTGGCAGAGGACAAGTACCCAAGTACACTTGTTGGTGGCTTAAAGGAAGTCCCACCTTTTTTTCCCAACATTGAGTGTCATCAAGATGAGGTATACTTCATCTCTCTCTTTCTCTCTCTCTCTCTCTCTCTCTCTCCTCTTCTTCCTCTTTCTCTCTATCTTGGCAACAAAATACAGATTACAGACTGTATCTAATAAAAGATGATCAGGTATGGGAGGTCCCAATTGGAGCTGAGGTGATTGCCTCCTCAGACAAGACAGGAGTAGAGATGTTCACCCTTGGGAAGCACATAATGGGCATTCAAGGTCATCCTGAATACACCAAAGACATTTTATATAATCTCATTGATCGTCTTGTCAGCAACAACTGTATAGAGGTAAGTCTAAGTTTATCTCTTTATATTATTCAAACATATATATTAATGAACACTTTGTCTTAGTATCTTATCCCGGGCTAACTAATTACAGAAAGAGTTTGCTGAACACACAAAATCAAGACTTGAGATGGCTGAAACAGACGGGAAGATTTGGGAGAAGATCTGCAGGAACTTCCTCAAGGGCTGAGGGCTGATTGACTTAACTGACATTGAATTTGTGTTGTAGCTTAATAGGCTAAGAAAGATACTGGTGTAAATGAGTCGTTTACACCTTTGTCTGAACAATTGAATTGAATAATGTTGTTTTGTTTAGCATAGGTGAAGTCCAACTTCATGGACTTATAAAAGAACTGTAACAGAAGTTGCTGTGATACCACTGGATAATTAGCAATGTAGTTTAAACTGTTTCAGTGAATCAATCCTTTTCTACTGCATTGAGGAGTTTACAGGGCCAAGTGCAAAATTAATAGATTTTGACGAAAGACAACCAAAACGAAACTGAAACTGAAATTCTCTTCTAATATAACTACCAGTCAACTTGTGTCAATATCAAAGAACCTGTAGAGGACAGTTGACAATTTCTGTCATTCTGTTTATCTAATCTTCAATGGAATTCAAGAAAGAATGAAGGCATTTTATTGATCAGGCTGTATTCAGCCGGGCCCTGTGCTTTTAGTATACTCCATTAAAGTTTTAATAACTAATAATTAATAAGTAATTAAGCTGCGTCTACAAATGAGAGAATACTTGGCTGGCTCTGGTGGGTTGATGATGAAAATAACTTATTGGTAAGTCCTTTTACCATGAAAGGAAGTCTTCTAGTTCACATTTGGTCCTTAACGGCCTCGGCTTATGCTACTTCTAGTCTGGAGTTTGCTTGTGGGATTTTAGCAGACCACTTTGGATGACCCAAAAGGACAATGGTTGGATATCTTCCAGGGTCAAAAATTTTCTTTTTGAAACTGTCCAAAGCTATGTTTGAGGGTGAAACTGAAATGGATATCTGTGTATGTTGTTTGGAATACTGCTTGTGTGGAGCCTTCTCTTTCCTGCAGCAAGCAGCCATTGGTTAGAAAATTTTCCAGTCAACCTCTTAGCTGGGTTGGAGTCAGTCAATCATGGGTCAGGACACCCGGAAATGGAAGTTAATGGACAGTTCTATGGGTCCAATTCACGTAATCAACGTGCTAGAAAATATTTTATGTTAGCTACGGTAAGATTAATAAAATAGTCTCAAAAGCCTCTCTCTTTCTCTCTCTGAAATCAACAACTTATATAATGCACTGTTGTAAACAACAGGTATAACGAACTATATTCATTGAAGAGGTTAAATACAAATGTATACAATACAAATACAAGGCTCAGTTTGGAATGAGTGCAAAACCTTGTATTTTATATTATTTTGTATGTATTTATACTTATCGGTATCAATTGGAAAGGACTTGGTCCAATCCGATCCAGTCTAATGTGAGTCCATTACAAATGGGCCAGGTCAATCCAATCTAATGAACATTTTACACCATTTTGGACCGGTCCAATTTCATCTTTGGACCATCCAATCTGTTCAAATTTATTTTAATTTAGATCAATTATAACTCAAACTTGGTCTGTTGACACCTATATTCTTATCTTCTACCAATGGATCAAATATTGGCTCAATCCAATCCAATCCAATAAATACTTTGGACTATTAAGTTTGGACTGGTCCAATTCAATGTCTTATTTGTCCATCCAATCTGTACAAATTAAATTGACACCCTTTTTTATACTATACATATTTGTATTTGTACTCTTTCCAAACTGAGATACAAATATGTAGAGCAAAACCTTGTATTTTGTATTATTTTGTATGTATTTGCATTCGTATTCTTTCCAAACTAAACCTAAGCCTCATTTTGCAAGGAGTACAAATACAAATATGTAGAGTGCAAAATCTTGTATTTTGTATGTATTTGCAGTTGGGAAATGGGGTCACTGAAACTTGGAGGAGAAGCTCTGAGGCGCATCTGAAGACACTGTCTTTAAAATGTTATTTGCCCCACTCAGTTCCACTGAGTTTGTTGTTGTGTCACAGGCAAATCTGTTCCCAGGATACAACAGAGCCTTGGGTGAGAGTCTGCAACTAACAAAGTTGAAGAGTCTCGGAAGAAACCTTCTGTGAGACAGTAGCAAATCAGATTGAGAGAGACAAAAGTGATTTTGAAAACTTTGTGTGTGCAAAAGCTTGATTCACGCTTCTTAAATAATTTTTGAAGAGTTATGGAGTAGAGAAAGGTGTTGGTTCAGAAAAGGCTCATTGAACAGTCACAATTTTAAACATTGTGACTGTTAAAAGGTAGTTAATAGTTAATGACTGTTAACATTGAATTGTGCTTCTTGATCACACCTGATTGAACCGTAGTTGTTGAAAACATCAATGGTCAGCCTCACACCAAAAGTGCGCCTCTAAAGCGCCTCATTGCGCTGCACACATGCGTGTACACGCCTACGCACGTGTTGTGCAGTAGCAAACCTCCATACTCTCCTCTTTATTTCTAAGGAGTGTAAATAAGCTACTATTTAAATAATCAAAACAAGTCTTGTAATTTTGCAATGTAGAACAAGTTAAAAACTAGCTTTAGTAAGAGAAAAAGTTATTTTTTAAAACATATGTGCAGGTGTAATTTTTCATGTAATTGCCAATCAAACCCCATTGGATTTAATCTCTAATGAGATTAAAATCCAATATTTGCACTAGGGGTGTTCACAGGTCGGGTTGGGTCGGTTTATTGGGGTTTTTCCAACCGACCCATCCTAGTCGGGTTACCTGAGGTGGAAACCGAAACCGACCCACTGATAGGCCAAATTGACTTGGTCGGTTTAAGTCGGGTTGGGTCGGTTTGGGTCGGTTTTGATTTTTCTCCTGTACAAAAGGACACCTAATTGAATTCTAATTGTAATTGCCTATTTGGTGTAAAAGATTATAGAAAGTTAGAAACTAGGATAGATTGCCTATTCTAATTGTAATTGCCTAATGGACCTTCTAGTTTTAGTAGAAGACTAGTTATAGTTAAGTAGGAAACTACTCAAATTAGGAACTACCGAACTAGTAGAAGACTAGTTCGGTTCGGGTCGGGTTGGTTTCGGTTTTCACACAAGAAAACTGAAACCGACAACCGACCCGATATATCGGTTTATATATTTTCCCAACCCGAAACCGACCGGTACTGATGAAAATCCGGCCGATTCGGGTTGGGTCGGTCTGGGTTGGTCAGTTTGATTGGGTTGGGCATTCTTATGAACAGCCCTAATTTGCACTTTACATGTTTGCATTCGTACTCCTTCCAAACTGAGTCGGCTTAGTTTAGAAGGAGTATAAATGCAAATATGTAGAGTGTAAAACCTTATATTTTGTATTATTTTGTATGTACTTGCACTGTACATATTTGCATTTGTACTCTTCCCAAACTGAGCCTAACAGAAAAATCAATGATTCTCTTTTTTAGAGATATAACCCAGTGAACTTACTAATTGCAATATATGATGACAAGCAATAAAACGAAAGCGGATTGTCACTTAGGCTGCATTTGTTTGTTGTGTAAATACAAAACTACACTGATGGAGTTTAACCACGGTTAGATTTCTGAGTGTAAAAAGCAAATCGACTTTATACTCATTTTACACTCTTGTATGTTTGGATGATCGATGTAAAAGGTAGCGACGCTAGCCTTCGATTGCTCAATCCCTCTTCTATTTTTTTCACTCCAACATTGAGCATGATCTTCAAAAGCCTGTTGCAACAAATAAAAGTAAGAGAGAGAAAGATAACATTGAAGAGAGAGAAAGAGAGACTCCTATTGCTATTGCTTTCAACTATCTATTGGGGGATTTGCACCTCTCTCTCCCTTTGCCGAAACCCCAATTGCAAAATCTTTTCCCTCCGCCGGTCTATCCTCTTTTCTCCTCGTCCACTCCAAACCAATTCGTCGAATTGTCTGAATCGATGAGGACCAAAAATCGATTTGTGCCACTGCCTTTCACTTCCCTATGCTCCGTCAGTCTACCAAATCCCCAAGTCCCCATGCTATCAACAGAGGCACAATGGGAGCAAAACGCCCAAGCACAACGAGATGTTGCAACCATGGAGGGAGAGAGAGAAACAATGGGGGTTGCACCCAAATGGAGATCGCTCCCCAGAAGCAGAGAGCACCCATCTGAATTGGCCTCCAAGTTCCCCCAATCAAACCCCATTGGAGGTGGTGGCGGTGAAAGAGGAAGAGAATTGATCCTGCTCAGAGTTGCAACTGGTAATGAAAAGGGGAAGGGGTGGCTGGATTTGCTCTGATGCCGCCGATAGACACTACCAACTGCTAAGAGAGAGAGAGAGAGAAAGATGTAATAAATACATTGATAATTTTGATGTATTTATAACATTGATTATCGATGTAAATTTAAATCAATATATCATGTTTACCAAACACTAGTAAAATCGAACCAGGGTATAAAGTTTACCCCGGTTCCATTTTCCACCCCAAACAAACATAGCCTTAGTAAATCAAATAACCAATTACTAACATAAACTAGGAACTAGGGAAGTATTCAAATGAATGACTCTATCAAGCTATACGAACACATTCTAGTCAAGAGAATATATTTTGCAGAAGATGTTAGGTTCATTGGGGTTGTCTACCCTAAGATGGTAAAGCATAACATATAAATTATACCAATAAAACTAAATGAATATTAAACAAAACTAATATTGTCTTATAAAATGAAAATCAAGAAATGAACACAAATTGAGGCTTAATTTGTTTACGGTGCAGGTTTCTTTGGCATTGGTCATGGAAGTAGGATGAGTGTAAATTCTGGTTTTCCTTGGTTTCAGACGATCTGACTTTGTCTAGTTTTCTTGTGAAAAGTAAAACATAGAATAAAATAACGAAGTTCCCATCTTATATGAAAGAGAATGGAAATGCGTTTTATTTGGGTGCAAATGAAATATAAAATACAATTCTTTTATGAGATATATAGGAATGCAGATCATAATTAGGGTTGTCAGTTGAATTGGATTTGGTCCAATCCGATCCACTCTAATGTGAGTCCATTACAAATGAATCAGGTTCAATTCAATCCAATGAATATTTTGGACTGGTTCAATTCAATGTTTGGACCATTCAATCTGTTCAATTTTATTTTAATTTAGATTAA